GAAGAAGAAGAAGAAGAAGAAGAAGAAGAAGAAGAAGAAGAAGAAGATGATGATTTGTACCTTGGGGTTGAAATGAGGGGACCATGGTGCTCTCTGATTTGGGTGGGTGTTTTGCAGACGTCTCAACACCCAACTAAGTGGCATCATCAGTTCTAGGAGGATGTGGGATTTGCTCTCTGTCCCACCACCTCCTAACACTGATGTTACCTAGTTGGTTGTGAAACATCTGCAAGAAAACCATCAAGCTCAGAGAGCACTAAGGATACCACAGTCATCTTCTTCCTCTTCTTTCTTCTCCTCCTCTCCTTCCTCTTCTTCTTTTTCTTCTTCCTCCTTCCTCCTTTTTCCTCCTCCTCCTTCTTCCTCATTCTTCCTCCACCACCTCCTCTCTTCCTTTTCTTCCTCCTCCTCTTCCCTCCTTCCTCCCTTCCTCCCTCCTCCTCCTTTTCTTCTTACTTCCTCTTTCCTCCTCCTCCTTCTTCTTTCCTCCTTCTTCCTCCACCACCACCTCCTCTTCCTCCTCCTCCTCCTTCTATCACCAGATCACGGTGAATTCTAGTCCCACCTTAGGCATGAAAGCTGGCTGGGTGACCCTGGCTCAATCACTCTCTTTTGGCCCAACCCACCTCACAGGGTTGTTGTGGTGAGAAAAACGGGAGAAGGAAGGAGTATTGTATATGTTTGCTGCCTTGAGTTACTTATAAAGCAATAAAGGCAGGGCAAAAACATCTAATAAACAAATTAATAGCATACATTTCAAAAGTGTCTGCTGGAGAAAAGAGAATGGGGTGACTTGACGCTACAAATACATTTCATTGACATGTGGCTTTCAAAAGGGATTATATAAACAAGTGTAGCCCTTAGATTGAAAATAGTTCTTCACCATTGTTCTAAAAATACATAAAGACTATCTGTGGGAGTTGTGTTATACTTAAAAGGTAAACCAGCAGCTCCTTACTTTCAATTATTTATCAATGGTGGGAAGCGAAGGGGCTATAAACAGAAGCCAAAGGTTAAGAGCTTGGAGTTAAATCAAGATACAAGGTCCTAAGATCCTGTCCCTTCACAAGAGAGCTTACGATTGCAAACCATGCAGGATATGTGTGAGTCTGATGGACACACTAGCTGTGCTCAAAGTAGTGCAAAATAAACACATTAGATCTGGATGTTTACATGAGTAAGATCTAACAGAACAGCTGAGAATTTTCACTAACAACATTCCTGGGTTTTGTCACTGCGCAAATAAATCTACATTACAGAAACATGAATAAAAGAGGCAGGAAAGGGGAAACCTCTCAGGCTGGACTTATTGATTATGTTGTCAGACACATGTTTTTGAAGAGTTCCTTGTAAACTTCAGAACAAGGACAGTAAGACACACTGTATGTTCTTTGGACTTCTCTCTCTCTCTCTCTCTCTTTTTCTCTGCTAAACACCTAATTCTCACAGAGCTACCTAATGTCTGCATATAATTACCCATGTAGTGTGGCTGTAGCGCTCTTATTTATTCTTATCTTCTTTATCCACACATTTGGACACATTATTGTTATTGTTATTCTGTTGCTTTGCATGTACACCGGGAGCTTCTGTACTGGAGACAAATTCATTGTGTGTCTAATCATACTTGGCCAAATAAAGTATTCAGTTCAATTTCCCTTTGTCCCTCCCTCCCTCCTCCCCTCCCTTGCTCCCTCCCTCCCCCTCTCTCTTTCTTTCTCCCCCCCAATACTCTGTTATAAAAATATCCCAATAAAAGAGGAACATAGACAACCCACAAACAATAAATCTTACTCTACTCTACTCTACTCTACTCTACTCTACTCTACTCTACTC